TCTGATTCTACCCATGAACTCAATGCAGTGTGAAGTCTTTATATTCAACATCTAAATGAATGTTAAAGTCACCTACTATAATCTGAAGTGAAACCTGTAGCCAAGTATGAACAATTTGTTGATCAAATATTGATCCATGTCCTCTGTTATTCCTACGCGTAATGCACTTTCCCGCTACGCCGTGCAAAGCTCTGTGACAACACAGACTCTGGTGCAGGATATAAAGTCAGAAAGATACATGTTTTGACATGGAACAGGTGAATGTAGAGCGCAGCAAAAAGTTTGGTCCTTGGCTCCAGTTAGCGGTTAGCGCAGCGCACGCCACGTCATTTTGACCCAGCTCTTTCTTCTTTCTCTCCATCATACTAGCCTTCTCTCTCTTTACATTTAGTCTGTCTCACATGCCTTCTCCTCTTACTTTGTCATTGGCTAACAGCAGCAGTGTTTCTATGAGCATCCCGTTAGCCAACAGCATCGGAGGCAATCGTTGTTAACCCAGCGCTGACTGCTCCGATATGCAAATCTCAGTTTTGGTGATCCACAGGTTTGATTTGGCAAAGATGCCCTTCCTGAAGCAGCCCTCCCCATTTAGTGCCAGGCTGGGGTCCAGCACTAGAATTACACTAGCTTGGCCCCTTAAAGAAGCATTGGGACTGATTGCTTTTCAGGTTCTGATTCTTTAAACTGATTAAATCACAGCTCACTAATCAACTATAAACATGAACTTCTCCTGCAGATTCAGCTGTGTTCCAATAAAAGATGTTGGCGTGAAGCAATCTGATGTCACTGCAGGTGAACAGGTGAGGCTCATTTCTTTTTCATTCATTAATTATTAGTAATTTATTCATGAAAAGGCCCCAGTTCAAATGTAAGATTGGATTTAATAACATATTTATTGTCCTACATCTGTCTAGTTGGTGTTACTAAGGCTGCTCCTGTCATATCATCATAATGATCATCATCTCTGGTTAATTATTAGAAACAGGTTGAAGCACGACCTGTTAAACTTTCCCATAAACACATGTTGAAGGTAACCCAGGTAGCAAGATGACATTGAATTGATGTTTGTCTGAATTATCATTATGGTTGAAACCTCAACGAATCAGCATTAAAATACTAATGAAACCTGATGATATCATAGTCATGACACTAGAACAGTGGTTCTTAACCTTGTTGGAGGTACCGAACCCCACCAGTTTCATATGCGCATTCACTGAACCCCTCTTTAGTGAAAAATAAAATATGATTTTTTTCAAATTCAAGACATAGGTATGGGATATTGGTGCACAAAATGAGCCGTGCATGTCACGGTGGAGGCTCTGCCGAACCCCTAGGGTTCGATCTAACCCAGGTTAAGAACCACTGCACTAGAATAACACTGATTCATAGTTGTCCCATTATAATTGATTGCTGATCTATTTAGTTGACTAGGTGACAACAATCAGGTTGAAAACTCCAACCGTCCAATTGCTTCTATTCTCTGCGGCCCGGTCGTGGAGCAGCAGCCTAAGCAGAGAAGCCCAGACCCTCCCTCTCCCCAGGCACTTCCGCTAGATTGTCCGGGGGAACACAGAGATAGTCTCTCCAGTGTGTCTCCCTGGGTCTCCCCCCCGTGGGACAGGCCAGGAACACCTCACCCAGGAAGCATCCTTGTCAGATACCCAAACCACCTAATGTATATATATTATATACATTAGGTGGATGTGCAGTAGTAGCTTTGTGTGCAACCAGCAGGTGAATTCTGTACATTATGTGAATTAAATAAGAATAGACATTCTGAACATTTTACAAAATAGACAATATTTAAAATTAAAGGAATTTGAAATGTACATACCGGTCAGTTTAGAGTGTCTAGACGAGAGTATATCTCTTCTAGAAGAGAGTATATCTCTTCTAGACGAGAGTACATCTCTTCTAGATGAGAGTATATCTCTTCTAGACGAGAGTATATCTCTTCTAGACGAGAGTATATCTCTTCTAGACGAGAGTACATCTCTTCTAGACGAGAGTACATCTCTTCTAGACGAGAGTATATCTCTTCTAGATGAGAGTACATCTCGTCTAAACACTGTATCGACCGGTAAATCAAGCGCTTCGCTTTTACACTCAGCTCTCTCTTCACCTCGACAGACCGGTACAGTGTCTGCATCACTGCAGCACCAATCCGTCTGTCGATCTCCTGCTTCCCTCACTCGTGAACAAGATCCCGAGATCCTCAAACTCCTCCACTTGGGGCAGCAACTGTTCCCTGACCTGGA